TTCAGCAGGGACACTGAGGGCACCGGAGCAGCTCTGCATGAGATGTCGCACGCTGCTCCTCAGCGCACAGCCCCCAAGGCTAACCTCCAGTTCCCCTGGGCAGTTAGTTCTGTGGGCTACAGGCTATTTTCTTTTTGTCATGGACATTTAAAAAATATTAAAAAGTAGAAAGAGTAGCTCATAATGAGCCCTGATGTACCCATCACCCAGCTTTAGCAGTCATCAACATTTTGCCAATCTCATTCACCATTCTCTACATATTTTAAAGTCTTTTAAGTATATTTGAGTATCATCTCACCCTTTCATATTTCAGTACATATCGTTAACTGATAAAGACCTAAAAAAAACCCCACCTTAACATTATTACACCAACAAAGTTAAAATAATTCTTTAATATCACTCAATACCTAGTCCACATCTGAGTCTCCCCAAATGCCTCAAAATGTCTTTTTACATCTGATATGTAATTGGCACCCAACAAGGTCCATATATTGTATTTGATTGTTATCCTTTACATCTCATTCTACAGCAACATTCCTCTCCACTTACTGGAGCAACTAAATCATTAATCTTGGAAAAGGTCCCACATTCTGGATTTGGCTGATTGCTTGTGATATTATTTAATTTATTCCTTTACTCTTATTATTTCCTATAAACCAGTAATTGAATCTAGAGGCTTCATAAGTTCACATTCAATTACTAGGCAAGAGTACTTATAGGCAATGCTATGAATTTCCAATTACATCACATCACGAAGCACAAGAGTTCTGCGTGTTCTACTTCCAGTGATGTTAAGACTGATCAATAGGTGCAAGTGGTGTCAGCCTGATTCCTCCATTTTGAAGTTCCCCATCAACTCTTCACCTAATGTGTTTAAAATCTATTGATATTGTTGCCTGTTTCACTAGGGTTTGTTTGTTTTTTTTTAACATCTTTATTGGAGTATAATTGCTTTACAATGGTGTGTTAGTTTCTGCTTTATAGCAAAGTGAATCAGTTATACATATACATATATCCCCATATCTCTTCCCTCTTGCGTCTCCTTCCCTCCCTCCCTCCCACCTCCCTATCCCACCCCTCTAGGTGGTCACAAACCACCGAGCTGATCTCCCTGTGTTATGCAGCTGCTTCCCACTAGCTAGCTATTTTACGTTTGGTAGTGTATATATGTCCATGCCACTCTCTCACTTTGTCACTAGGGTTTGCCAAATGGTGATTTTCTAATTCTGCCATTCTTTTTGCATTTACTAGCTATAATTCTTCTAGAAAGAACTTACCCTCATCAAATGTTTAGTTAGTATAAAATATAGTTAAAATAGGAAAGGCAGGATAAATGCTTGTTTCATTTATCCATTTTCAGAATGAGTTACTGCCCTAACAACTTCCCATAGTGACCAATGAGTTTTGTGGGGATGAATATCATTTTGAACTTTTTATATGTATGACACATTGCAATCTACTGCAATCAGTATTCTTTCTGATGCTCAAACTATCCCTTCAAATTGGCTTCAGCGTCCTTTAGGCATGACCTTATTAGTTTTCGATAGTTTCCTTGCTAACAATTAGTTATCCCAGACTCATACAACGCCTGCCCAGATCTGGAATCACCCATTTCTCCAAGGAACTAAAGTGGGAAACCATAGTAGACACCAGTCTGACCACTGGGCTTCGCTGCTTCTATGCCTTTTTAGTAGAAGATCTAGATAATATGTACTTTTTGAGAGAGCAAGGGAGTTGATATTTTTAATTCAAAATTAATACATACCTCATCTGATTTTTATATTTCTATCTCTTTTCACTTACACTTAAAATCTGGAGTACTAACAATACTAGTGTAACTACTACTTTATCGTATAATACATGTATAATTACAAAATAATATCAACACTACTAATAACACTAATACTACTGAATGCAGTTTTAGATTTCTTTGCAGTTCTTTTATCCTTAGAATTGATCCCCCCATGAATGAACTGTCAAAATATTGAATTTTAAAGTCATCTAAAGTAATTCTTTTCTCTGAGTGGTTATGCCACCAACTTTATATAGAGTTCATTTGTTTCAATCTGTTTTTGGTTTTCAGGGATTGGTTTGTTTTTAACTTTTTAATTGTCTTTTAAATATGTAAAATATATACATGGTTCCAAAGTCAAAACTAGATAATAACGTACTTTTAGAGAAATCACCTCTCCTCTTCCCACCCTCCCCCTTTAGATAACCATTTTTACTAATTTTTCATTTATCATCCTTCAGCTTCCTTCCACAAATGTAAGACAAATACATTCATATCCATTTTCCTCTCATTTTCTTACACAGATAAAAGCGTGTAAGGTTTCCTATACCATAATTTTTTCACTTAATATATCCTATGAAGATCACTCTTATCACGATATAGAATTCGCCATTACTTATCTTTCAGCTACAAAGCATTCCATTTTGTGGACATTTCATAGTTTTAATCAGTCTCTTCCAATGAACATTTGGGTTGTTTCCAATCTTTTGTTATTACAAATAAGGTCATAATGAACAACCTACCTTATTCATATGTCCTTGCACATTGTTGTTACTGCATCTTGGAGGTAGATTCCTACAAGAGGCAGTACTGCTTCACATGCAATTTTGAGAGCTACTGCCAAATTCCTCTCTGCATGAGTTGTGCCATTTTATATCCTGTCAGCAGTCAGATCTTTTTTTTTTTTTGGTACGTGGGCCTCTCACTGTTGTGGCCTCTCCCGTTGCAGAGCACAGGCTCCGGACGCGCTGGCTCAGCGGCCATGGCTCACGGGCCCAGCCGCTCCGCGGCATGTGGGATCTTCCCGGACCGGGGCACGACCCCGTGTCCCCTGCATCGGCAGACGGACTCTCAACCACTGCGCCACCAGGGAAGCCCTAGTCAGATCTTTTAATAAATTTACTTTCTGTTTAATTCACCCAAAGTTGGTTTCTGGTTTTTGCAAATTCTGATTGATATACAGTTATATTTCCTGATAGTATAAGTTTTGAGGTTCTGCCTAACTATATATCCATGCTGCAGTTCTCTAATCATTATTTATAAAGCTATCACATGGTTGTATAATGATGTATTTATACTTTTTCTATATTGTGTATTTCACCCTGAGTATCATCTACAAAAAGCAGTGTGGCAAAGCTTCATGACACAAGGATATTTTTCCAAAGAGAAAAATTTTATTTTCTCTTGATTGAAAATATTTCATGGTCATTGCAAAAACTTCAAACCATACAGAATGAAATCTATTTTTAAACAAGTTGACCTTGGTTTATCTCATATAATCAAACTAATACAGTGGCTCCAGGAATGACGATTGTAATACTCAAAGAAATCTTAACCTGTGTTTTTTCAAACTGTGGGCCATGATCCATTAGTAGATTGTGAAACTAATCTGGAGGACTCTAAGCAGTATCAAAATCACACAGTTAAGTAAACCAAATGGAAAATAGAGTACATCTCACAAGTAAGAGTACTGTTTAACATATACAAATACACATACATACATCCTGGATTTCTATGTAATGTGTTTCACTTATTTTGGAGTGCAGTCAAAACAGGTTTGAGAAACACCAATTTAGATTCAAACTACTGATGACAGAGGAAATCTGACTTAATACTTCTAAACATCCAGTTTTAAGAATGATTTATAAGCAGATATGAAGAACCAATTTTTAAATCTTTCCAAATTTCTCTTACCTTTAAAATCAGGTAGGGCCCGATCATCAACCAGCAGCATGGGTCGGACTTGTTTCTGCTCTACCAAGTTTCTGGCTGCAGTCAGAGAAGTGAATATTTCATCTTCAGAGATATCAAACTGCAATTTTTTCAATCTTTCCAAGAGATCTTTCTTGCTCTCTTTGGTTGTATTGGTCACAAACCTAACCATTACAGAAGTAGCACGTAACCTGGAAAAGTAAAATTCAGGTGTCAATAGGCAACTTTTACATTCCAGCTCCATAAAACCTAATTTGGTAGCACTTGCCAAAGGTCAGAAAATTAAGGCTAAGTCACTGAGTAAGTGTTTTTATGGCCAGTAGGTTTTATAATCTATTCAAAATTGCTTACAGATTATCCACACCCTGTGGACTGCTTCATCTCCAAAGGCTGTAAAGTCTACCCTTTCAAGGGCCTTCTATACTTTAACTGAATTTTACTACAGGGTTTTAGTAAAGAAGTAAAAAACAAAAATAAAACAAAAAAACTCAACACTAAGTAACCACCATACTCACAGAATATGAGAGGTGAAAGTTATCTTAGAGATTATCTACTAGTGTAACCTTCTGAAGATGAGAAAACTCAGGCCTAGAGGATTAATGACTGGGCTCAGCTGTACACAGCTGGGCAGGAGTAGGGCTGTGACAAGAACTCCAGCCTACGTCCTAGACAGGGTCTGACCCCCTATACTAAAAGAACAGAGGACGCCTCAAGAGTTCGTCCTTCCTCTTAGCCAATTAGACACTGGCTAAGCCCTAATGTGCTACTAAGTTTACAAACAGAAACTACTTGGAGAAAGAAACATTCCACTTTTACAGACTGGAATGTGCTTTCCCTTTGAACTACTTTTGAATCCATAATCTGCTTTTGGAACCTAAACTGGCAGTCAGGTATCAGAGAAAGAATTCATGATAATCCAGCTTTCTTTCAAAACAAAAATTATTTTCTTGGTCTTACAGTGCTTTAACCTAAAAATAATTTACCTACAATTAAAATTCTTGTATTAATACCCTGTTGCTTTTTATCTTATACCTGCCTCAAATAGACACAAGGCATAAAGCACTATCCATAATTTTAAAAAAGCAAGCAAATAAAACAGAAAAGAGATTTTTAAGAATTCACTCCAAGAGCATTCATAAATTTATATGATTAAATAGTTCAATATAATTATGATTATCTCTATAATATCTGTACAGTAGCTTTTCTGAAAAACCCATTAAATTTGGTAGTTTATCTCTCAAAAGAAATTGAATACTTCAACGTAACTATTATCTTAAAAATGAACAAGTCTAAGTACTGAAATGATCATATCATTTTTAATGAGCATTTTAAAAACCTTTTCTTTTTGCTAGTCCCTCAACTTCCCTTAGTCTGTTTGTTTCTATAGAAACCAAAACTGCCAGTGACAGTATAGCAATCTCTCTGGGATGGAAACCTGCCAGCGTCAGTGAGAGAACAATCTGTAGGCTCCTGCCCCTCCAGAATGGCAGGCTCATAGTTTACAGAGGTACTTAGAGATGTCATTCATTGTTCACCAGAAATAAGATTTTTCTTTCCATCCAGAGCAGAAAGCTCATCTTTGAAGCAGTAAAAGCTCTTGTCCAACAGGAGAGGAGACTGACTGACAGACATCCTTTTCCCTAGAAAGTCTGAGAGAGAACATGGCAAGGAGTCAAGAGAAAGTCCCCGTCTCCAACTGATTTACTTCAGGCTTTAAACATATTGTTGTCCGCCTGTAAAATGAATGTCATGACTGCTGGCTAAGTCAAGAGCTTCCATGACACCTACCAGATCTAAAATCTCTTCACACTCACTGAAGCCCCAAATGGAGAGTAAGCTCCTTGAGAGAGTGCCAAGTCAGTGTTGATCTCTTGCCGTAATACCTGGCACTGTGATACTAGTCACTAGATTTCCTGAACAATAGCATACTATGTGAATATTGTAAGGTTTGAAAATGATAAAGCACCACATGCTGAGTATTGTTGATTTTGAAAACTCCTCTAAATTATTTGAAGATAAGATGCTTAATAACATTACTAGTTCTGTTGTACTGAGGAGTACTTTTTTGAGGAACAAACATTCACATTCAGTTCACTTTACCAAGCTTTCATTATGTATTTTGTATCTAGACTTGTGGTGATGCATCAGAAATGTAAGACAATCTCTAACCTTCAAAAGCATTAAGTTTAGTTAATGGAAATAATTCTAAAATTTCAAGTTCCTTAATTAAATTTTATTTGAGCAGCTGCACACTCAGTGTTAGATCTTAGCTGAAGAAGAGTGCGCGGAACTATGGCTTTGTACATGTGTGTTTCGTTTTGTGATTCCAGGATTCATTTGTGATTTTTCCAATGCTACTTATTCCACATTTCAGAGTCTCGTGTTTTCATTCCCAAATTTACACTACCGACTTAGAAAAAGATACACATAAAGAACAAAAAGACTAAATCAAAAGGCCAAACCTAACAAAAGGCTTAGAGAACAATGTCTGGAAGATTATTACAATGCATACATCTTCTAGCTAAGCCCAAGGCAGTTCCTGTATATATGGTAAACTGGTGAAATGCTACCTTAAGGCCATCCATTCAGCTAATGATCTGCCTTGGTAAAACGGCACCTACAAACATATTTGTCAGCTGAACGTGGAGGACAGCTTGCCTTTGAAGAGCTTCCTGTGCACCTGGCACAGCTGTATCTTCAATGTGAAGTGTGCCACTGAGATCCACCAAAACAGCTTTTAATGCACGGCATGCTGCCATCCTTCATTCCCTAAGAGAGAGCAAATGAAATTAAAAATACAGTTTAGGAAACAATGGACAATTAAAAACTGGTTAAGTCTTCAAAATATCATTCATATCTAGACAGATACTTAGTGTTAAGCTGCCTCCCTTTTAGGAAAAAAGTTTTTTAAAAATCAAAAATCCAAATTTGATCCATAAAACTTTTATAATGGTTAGGGTTTTATTTTTCAGTCTTAAATTAAAACCATAGGAAGGAAAATGTTAAAAAAGGAGGTTACTATTTACTTCAGGTTTCTTAAAATAACTCGTCGTGGAACAATTCATGCATTTATTTTTAAATATGAGAAAATGTACTCTGAAGAATGGGTGGATGGAAGGAAGCCCTAAATCACTGGCAAAATCTTTTTCCTCTTTGGTTATATACAATGAAATGTTCTAAGCGCCCATCTCCATTGTTATATCCTGAAGCAGCATATATGGCCAAAGAGCTACCAGTATTTATACTGGTCAGTGAGGAGGAAATTTCAAGTTACAAAGCAACTTTAGTCAGGAGATGTTTTCCTTACCTTACAATGTCTGACTTTCCTTTTGCATATTTTCCCTTTAAAATATGTTTATTATGAGCTATATCATATATACAGTGGAGTATAAGGTATATCTGTGGTTTAAAGATAATAAGGGAGTGGATAAGAACGGTGTGGAAGCTAAAGAGAATAGGATGGGACTTCATTTTTAGTTTTTTAAACTTATTCTTTTTTCCATTAAAAAAATTTTTAGAATAAAATATTTCAGACATACAAAAGGTATCAAGGATAATACAACGCCCTTTACCCATCATTCAGCTTCAAAAATAAAACATCATTGAAGGAGCTGGAGCCCTCTGTGTACCCTCTGATCTGATTCCGCTTCTCCCCCTCCCCAAGGTTACTACTTCCGATTTTTTTTTTTTTTTTTCTTGCGTTATGCGGGCCTCTCACTGTTGTGGCCTCTCCCATTTGCGGAGCACAGGCTCCGGACGCGCAGGCCCAGCGGCCATGGCTCACGGGCCCAGCCGCTCCGCGGCATGTGGGATCCTCCCGAAACGGGGCACGAACCCGCGTCTCCTGCATCGGCAGGCGGACTCTCAAGCACTGCGCCACCAGGGAAGCCCACTACTTCCGATTTTGATGTGCTGAAAGCTTTGTATCACTATTCTTCTACAGACACTTCATGACTTGCTTTACCACTCCACACTGTGAGATGTAGCCATGTTAACACATGTAAATACAGGTCATTCATTTTTCACTGCTGTGTGGTATTCCATTGTGTGAAAACACAATTTAACTTTTCTGTTCTCCTGATCATGAAGATTTAGGTAGTTTTGCACATTTTATTATAGTGAAAAGCACCTCTATGAACATCCTTCTGCATGTCTCTGGTGGCCGTGTGTGTGAACATTTCTCTGGGGTCTTCCTCAGTCTGAGGGCATGTGCTAATCTTCACCCTTACAGGATGTTGCCAAATTGCCCCATTCATTGTATCTTCATAGGGCAAATGTGTACTGAGCACTTACTATGTCAAGCCCTGATGTGACAGCAGAGCTGGAAGAGCCATCTTCTTTAAAGTGAGAAGCAGAAAGAGAAGGGGGAAAGAACCAGGGGAGATATAAGTAGTCAATGAACAAGAATTTGTGGAGAATTCTACCAGAAGAGTTCTCGGGTGGTTTATGACATCCATGGGACACATGGAGGATGGAGGGGAAGACCTCTCTCTCCTAGCTGGCTCCCTCTGAGATGTCATTGTGAGAGCTCAGGATGGCAGTCACCAGGCCCAGGTGTTGGTCCTGGTCCTGCCTCAAATTCACTGTGTGACCTTGGTCTAGTGCCTTCTCTGGTTTTAAGTTTCTCTTCAATATGTGGGGGAGGGAGGCAAGATGAGGCCTCAATCTTTTTTTTGTTTGTTTGTTTTTTTGGCCATGAGGCATCTTAGCTTCCCAACCAGGGATTGAACCTGCATCCCTGCATTAGAAGGTGAAGTCTTAACCACTGGACCACCAGGGAAATCCCGAATCCTCAAACTTTACTGCCTACAGTTGAGCAATCTGGGATGAAAGAATCAGTGTATCACATACCACTACCCCCCACCCCCGCCCCGATTTTCTCTTCTTCAACATCGGCCTGCTAGTCCCTGCTGGGTCCATCTCCCAAAGCTGCCAGTAGTACTCCAGACTGCCCAGTGTTACCCTTTTAAATGTTGCTCTCCCCTAGGTGCAGTCCTGTCAGGAGGCAGAGGGATAGCAAAGATGACCCCTGAATTCCCTCAGCTTCTAGCTTTTAGCTCCTTTGCTTCTCTCATTTTCCAGACCCCACTCCTACTCCAAGTCAGCTATCTCTGCACACAAGGTATAAATACAAAAAATAAACCCAGACTAAACCCAGAACTGTAGCCAATTGCTGGCAAGTGCGAGCTGCTGATTAGCATGCATAGAGGACTTGCTACTGGGCATATTGGAGAGAACTGCATTTTCCTACAGGGTCAGCTGTCAGCATGGTCCAGACTGGGAGGAAGGCATAGAGACGGTGCTACGGCTGGATCCAGGCCTGCTCTGTTCCTTATATGCTCCCCAAATCTGAGCGGGGTTTCCCTTCAGTGAGCTAGAACTTGGGTCCTAAGTGAGGGAGATGCAGAAGGTGGGGGAAGCAGAGCCAGGTGGTGAGGGTGAGGTAGGTCCAGGGTCCAGGATTAGCCGAGTAACCTTGGGCAAGAGTATTCATCATCCTAAGCCTCCATTTCTTCGTCTGTATAAGAGGAGGAATACTTGTAAAAGACCCTGCAGGGATGTGCAGGTTCGCTGAGTTAAGGAGAATGCCTGGCAGTGATAAGCACATAGTAGGAACATAAAGGATGTGCCCTCTTCCTTCCCACTCATCACTGTGTAACAGGTACCTCCCTCCACCTGCCCACCTACCCCACCCCATGCATAGCCTGGGGTCATAGACCAGGAAAAGTAAAAGGCAAGAGAAGCAACTGAGAGGAATTCATAAAGAAAGAAGGGAAATAAAAACAGCTCACATTTATTGGATGCTGTAGGTGTTCTGCACTGTGCTAAACACTCTGTAGTCTTTACTACATCACTGAAACTTCTCAGCAATCCTACATAGGAGGAAATTGAGACACTGAGAAGTTACTAACTTGCCCAAGCTTAGTTTTGACTTTGAACCATGTTAATGGTTTATATATTCAAACTTAAACAAAACCAGCCCTAAAATGGAATACAAACACAAACTAATCTAAGACAACTTCTGCAGAGTGCTGACTCTAGCCCTGCCATAGGATATATGCAAAGGACAAAAGAACTGCAAGGAAATCTTGAACTTTACTTAGTAGGTTTGTTGTTGGTAATGGTATGAGTTCCAAAATAATTCTGTGCATGTTATAGGACTGAGCAAATCAGTATAAATATATTGCTGATGTTTAAAAAAATTAGGGTTCTTAAATGGAAGAAAAGAGCTATAAACATGGAATGGGAGGACAGGAAGAACCCTGTGTTGGTTTGGAATCAGAGGTGTCATTATAAATTTGCAATTTAAATACATATATATTTCTTAGCACCGCCCACTAAAACGAACAAGAAGCAACAAGACTCCAATAGCTATGAGCCCAGCTAAAGTGCACTAAACAAAACCTGGACTGGGTCAGCCAAAATACACGGTGAGCCAACATACTGTTTTACCAGATCACAGGTGGACAAAAGGACACATGAACCAAGGGTTCCAACTAGCCAAATCTGGGGCACCAAAAAGAAAAAATAACAGAAATGAATAACACATGATAAAACCATTGGATGAAAAATCGTTGGGGAATAGTACAGTTGACACTTGAACAATGCAGGGGTTAATTCATGCATAACTTAGAGTCCACACTCCACATCCAGGGTTTGTCTGCATCCTTGGATTCAACCAGCCAGCAACTGTGTAGCACCATAGTATCTACTACTGAAAAATATCCAAGTATAAGTGGACCCACGCAGTTCAAACCCACACTATTCAAGGGTCAACTGTTTAATCACTCAGGCTCAAATAATCACCCACAAATTAAGATTCTCCACTAACTACAAAGGAGAAAAGATACTTTTACAGTGGAGAAAACAGCCAGGTACCCCATTAACCAAATGATCAAAGTTACACCATTAATAATGCGAGAAACTGACATTATGTGCTTCCTGAGAAGACCATTGTAGTCGTCCTGCCTTTGTAGAATTTCTGCCAAAAATGTTGAACACAAATCAATCATGAGGGAAACATGAGACAATTCCAAATTGTATAAAACAACTAGCTTGAACTTTTAAAAAACATCAATGTCATAAAAGACAAAGAAGGGGCTGGGGAACTGTTTTAAATTAAAGGAATGCGAAAAGACATGACAAATAAGTGCAATGCATGAGAGAAACATAAAACAAATATAGCAAAATATTAATTAGTAAATTTTGGTGAAAGGTATATGGTTTTCATTGCAATCTTTTTAAAAATTTTCAACTTTTGGAGGAAAACAAATTTTATAAAGATTTCTCTTAAAAATGGGTTGAAGGCAGGGCTTCCCTAGTGGCACAGTGGTTGAGAGTCCGCCTGCCCATGCAGGGGACACGAGTTCGTGCCCCGGTCCGGAAGGATCCCACATGCCGCGGAGCGGCGGGGCTTGTGAGCCATGGCTGCTGAGCCTGCGCGTCCGGAGCCTGTGCTCCGCAACGAGAGAGGCCACAACAGTGAGAGGCCCGCGTACCACACACACACACAAAAAAAAGGGTTGAAGGCAAAAGAAAGAAGTTTTCATACCTAATAATAATAGTAATATAAAAAATGAAACTTGTGTGTTTAGCCAGTCCCTAGTTTAAGATTAGAACACTGCCAATACTACTGAGGGTCCTATATGAGCCCCTTCAATTACATTCCTGTCCTACCTCCCAGAAGTAATTAACATAATGAACTCTGTGATAATCATTTTCTTGCTTTTCTTTATATTTTTACCTGTCACACAGCTTTAATGTCTTTT